TAGCCATTCTCCAGCATTCGACCACCACCCGGCCCTTCTGTGTCTGAGGATGTGTCTAGTCTGGATGCCATGTCAGCCAGACCAGAGCCCACAAAGCGACTCTATCGGACAGGGCAAACTGTCCCCATAGGTTTTGGGGACTCTAATTCTTTACAGGAGTAGAAAGTCTCATTTTCCCCCTGTGGAGCAGTTGGTGGATTTGAACTGCTGACCTTGCAGTTGGCAGCCCAAATGTGTGGCCTGCCACCCTGCCACCAGCGACTGCCCCTTTCTTTCCTCCTCTTGTTTAGCTTCCCATTTCAGGGGTTCATCCCATCTCAGTGTGAACAGCCTCTCACAGTATCCCCTTTCCTGTCTGGATGCTCTGGTCACTCCACTGGGTGGCTGTGCCAGCTCACTTCCCCATTCATCACTAGATGGACCCTTGGGCCGTTTCCACTCCCTGGCTGTCACGATGCGCACTGCTGTGAACATTTGTGTATGGGTTTTTGTGCGGCCCTACTAGGAGGCGAAGTGCTGGCTCCCATGGTAACTCTGTTGAATCTTTGGAGCCTGACAGTTTTCCAGAGCAGCCGGCCCGTGTTCCACCCGCGCCAGCAGTGTGTGAAGGCTCTCTCTGGTCCCTCGGCCTCCTCGCCCACACTTGCTCTCTCTCTTTTTATCACTTGTCGGTATTTATAGAGCACGGCCATTGTCCGGGGCAGGGGACTCAGTGCCACATGAGGAAGAGAACGTGTGCCTTGTGGGACTGCGTGAAGGCTCTGTGAGATGCCCCTTGGCCCACCTGTGGAGCCCGGCACACAGTAGGTGCTTCGCAAGAAGCCGCGGCGGGGGTCTGGAAGCCCGGGACCCTCTGAGAAGAGGAAAAGGGGAAGGACTGCTGCATGTGCCGGCCACCTCTCGGGTGTCAGCACCTGTCTTTGGGTCCTGTGGCCCTTCAGGTGCCATTGTCCCACTTGTACATGGAGGACTGAGGCTCAGGCCTTGCCACAGGACTGCCCAGCTGAGCAGTAGGCAGGCTCTGGGCTGAGCGTGTCATTCAGTCCTCTCGGGATTTCGGCTTCGTCCTGATGGCGTACCCATTCACTGGGAGAGGAAACTGACAGGCTTGCCTGGGTACACCGCTAGCGAGGGCCAGGACTGGGCTTTGGACCCACGCCTCTGAGTTCCCCTGCTCGGCCAGCCTTCCAGGACACAGCAGGTGACTGAGGACCTGGGGGACAAATGTTACCCTAAGCAGCCTCTGGGGTTCTGCCACCCCACCCTACCCCCAATTTTAAAATATCGAGGTCTTGCTCTGTGCCTCAGTTTCCCCCTGGGAGTGAGAGCCGCTGAATCTGGCTCAGGAGCCGGTGGGCTGGGGGCGGGGAGAGGCACGATGTCTCCACCGAGTGTGACTTTGTGCTGGTTATAAATAGCCCAGCTAACGGTGGGTGAGGACAACTTCAGACCTCGGGAGGCAGGTCTGGGTGTGAGCGCACGTGTGCACACTCACACCAGACACACCAGGCACGGGGACACTCTGGCCATGTAGGTGGGGTGTCCTCAGGGTGTGTGCTTGGCCTGAGCCCTTCCCAGGGAAGGTGGCAGGGCCAGGATAGCCTGCAGGGTCTGTTTGGCTTTCTGTAGGAGGGGAGGGGGTCAGCCTAGTGAAACGCCGTGGTTGGTGAGGTACGTGGCATCCCCTCACCTGACTTCAGGTGGCCTTGAAGAGTAGGGTACTTTTGACTTTGGGCTGCCCTTTTGGGAACCCTGTGGGTGTGTGGGGCCTCCTCCCATTCCCTCAGCTCCCCCTGTCTTGTCCCCCACTGCCTCCCCCTCTTTCTTCCCCCCACCCACCCTAACTTCACACTTGGTTCTCTTGGCCTTCGAGCCTTTGGGGTGGTGGGGCCCGTTCACCTGACTCCTGGGAGGCACTTAGGAGGTGCTCAGTCTACCCAGCCCAGGCCTGGCTGTCTAGAGGCCAGAATCGCCGGGCCACTCACTGGAAGCCTGCTGATCAGTATGGTTTTGCATAAGCATTTTTGACAAAGTCTGCTGGGATGAGTCTCAGAGTCTCTTCCTGGCTCCCTTGGAGGGCTCCTGGGTGCGCATGGGGGGCCTGGACTTAGCTTTGTTCCCCACCCTCTTCCACAGGTGGGCAGGCCGAGCCCGAGATACAGGGTGGGACGGTAGGGGGCGATCTCACCCATTGTGGCCCTTGAACAAATGCTGGTGGGGACTGACCCTGATACAGAAATCACCTGGGCATCTAGGTGTGGCCATGGCAGGCCAGGTCCCACCCCCAGGGGTTGCTCTTGGAGCAGACAAGACAGTCAACCAGCAAACCCATAAATAAACTGGTTACTTATAGGCTGGGCGGAGCCCTGGGGTGACAGCCATTGGCCATTAGGGTGGATTAGCTGGGGGGGGGATGCTCTGGGGAGGTGATGTTCGAATTGAACTTTGACTGTCAGACAATGTTGTGTGCTCACATGGAAGACAAGCTGACTGCCATCGGCCATTTCTGACTCGTAGGGCTGAGTAGTTCTGTGGGCTCTTGTGACCAAATGTTTGTGGGAGCAGACAGCCTCAGCTTTCTCCCAAAGGGTAGCCGGCGCGTTTGAGCCATTGACCTTATGACTAGCTGCCCAAATTCCTAACCCACTGCGTCACCAGGATTCCACGTCGTACCCTGTCCTGTCCCGGGGCCAACTAACCATTAGTTCAGTGCAGCGGGAATGGTAGTTACACAAACGGACCCCAGGAGGTGAAAGGATGGGGCCTGGTCACCAGTGTGGGAGCTCGGTGGGGAGAGGAAGGCGCTGGCTCTGCTTGACTGTTGACTGGGGTGACTGCAGAGCCTGAGCCTGGAGCCTCACTCCCAGAGGCGTCTGCTGGGGCATCATCAGGGTGGTGGAGGCCCCCGCTTACCTGAGCAGGCCACCTGCTGTCTGAGTACAACCTGCCCTCTCTTTCTATTCATCCCCAGACGTCCAACCA